TGATAGTGCTAAGTGTATTTTTATACTATCTTAATAATAATGATCTTATTTTTTACAGAATATACAAACATTTTGGCCAAGACTGCATTAATCATAAAACTAATATGAAGCGGCATTTTAAAGAGCTATAGCGAATTTTATTATCACGAGGTATAAAATGATACAGAAATACCAAAATAATTTTTCTGCTAAATAGTTTAAAAATATACTGCTTTCATGTTTCTAACCCAGTTTTTTTTTAAAATTGATGGAATGCTATCAAACTCAAACATGGAGTCGGTTTGGAAGATGATAGAAATAAATACCAACTTTTTATGCAGTTCGTAAAATGTTGACCTTTGCCTGAGAAAATTTCCTAGAACGCCACGATTGAATAGTTTTCTGCAGATCTACTTTTTCATATATTATGTTTTAGTAGGATAAGCATAATTTTAAATGTGAAATATACAATGTATTTCCCAAAGTATTAGGACGGCACGTTTAAACTAGGAATGGGTCTGTATCCATTAAATTTATCATTGAAAGTTACTGCATAGGGTTTATAAGGATAATCAGCTACCAAAACAGTCAGTGTCGATATTCCACAAGGAAAGGGTTCACAAACCTTTAAAGATAAAAGGCTTTTAGCTGTAGCATTAGTGTTTATGCGACTCCATAATGTTTAAACCTACTTATTCATACTCAACTTTACTGTTTATAACTGCTGATGAAGCAGATACCCAATAGATGTGTTAATGCAGAACATCGGCCAAGCCTCTCGAAAATAAATCACTCTTTGGCCCAAGCGAACTTGGAGAAATATAATGTGCTGTGAAGTGAAACACGCACCTTTCATCGAATCTGTCATCCAGAACTTTCGTGATATCTCAGGACTACAAGCCAGTACATTCACTGTGCACAGGGAGCTCCAGATGTTGGATTATATGAACAAACACACTAAGCTGCTCATCACGGCTACTAATGCTCGTTGGCTTTCATGGAGACTTGAACGTTGATCTTGAAATGAAGAACAATAAAAGAATCATCGTGTGAGCGACGAATTCTGCTACCTATGTTTGCTTACATCCTGTGAACAATGAATTCTGTTACCTGTGTTTGCTTTTGATGCTTGATAACAACGTGTAACAACTTGGAGAACGCTTTGTAGTTGACTGTGGCGTCCCAAATATAAATAGTGGTAGCTTCAAATTCCATAAACCTAACATTTGAAAATGCTTTATTAAATATATTTAAGAAGGTTATATGTGTTTGTTTATTTGTAAAAGAGCAATGTCACGTTGGGGCTATCTGCTGTGTCCACCTCGGGGAATCGAATGTTGGATTTTAGCGTTGAAAGTCGTAAACTTATCGTTGACCCACCAGGGAACTTTAGAAAAGTGATTGTTTGAATTTAAGCACAAAGCTACACAATGGGCTGTCTGTGCTCTGCCCATCACGGGTATCGAAACCCGATTTCTAGCGTTGTAAGTCCGCAGACATACCGCTGTGCCACTGGGGGGCAGCCTTAGTGGAAACAGTGGTTATGGTACACTTATAACTAGTAGAAATAAATGTTAACATTTCAAAGCTCGTGTATTTTGTGAATCAATCAACAACGATCATTTTGGCAGCTATTAATTAGTAAAAATAAACTTTCATATGGCAATAATTTTATATATTAAAATTCAAAACTTGAAAGAGGCCGTAGTTCTATTATAGTTTCCTGTGTGAACACTGTAAAGTGTAATGAAAAAGAATTCGACCATCGCTTGTATTGCAGCTAATGGCAATTCTCTTATGGAACTTTTTATTACAGATATGCGTGACATGTAAATAAAAGTAAGACTATCATAGAATGGGAAGTAAACTACGACTAGAGTACATCTGATCTTTTCAAAGTAAAGTAAGAAGATTAGAATAGCTTCGGTCTGTATTCAATGGCTTACTTTTTACAAACCTAAAAAAATATATATTAACCACAAAAACCCACATTT